TAAGTAATCATTAACTGTTAGCTGGGGCTATTAATATTATCATCTATATTATTATTATTTTTTTTAAAGATTTTATTTATTTATTTGAGAGAGAATGAGAGAGAGCATGAGAGGGAAGAGGTTCAGAGGGAGAAGCAGACTCCCTGCTCAGCAGGGAGCCCAATGTGGGACTCGATCCCGGGACTCCAGGATCATGACCTGAGCCGAAGGCAGTCACTTAACCAACTTGAGCCACCCAGGCGCCCCTATCATCTATATTATTATGGTTTATTGCCTTGCAGGGTAGTTGTGAGAATGAACAAAAATAATGTGTGTATTTTATACATCAGCACAGTGCCTGGACATAAGGGGTGTGTGTATTTTTAACACGGGGCAAATAAATATGTACATATGTATCTATTTTTTAAGGGAATTAAGATCATGTTCTACATACTGTTTGGCAACCTGATTATCATCCGTAAGACATCTTAAGCATTTTTCCTGTAACATTAATTATCAGGAACATTGCACAGTGATGGTGGTAGAGCAGCAATGCACCCTGGGAGAGATGAGGCTGTAACAGCTGTGCGGACAGGCTGGGGCATTGCAGTCTGCCTGTCTTAGCATCACGAAGTGGTAGGATGTCCAGTGTCACTTGGTGGCCCTGAGCCGTCAGGCCACGTCAACTCTGAGCCTTCCTACCTGAAGTATTCTCTTGAGGATTAGAAATAATTTAAAGTGACAAATCCTGGGAGAAGGGGCTCAACAAATAAATATTAATTGTTCCCGATGTTTTGAATTAATCCAGTGGTGTCCGTGGTGAGGTGTGTGCACCAAGATCCATTGGGGGCAGAAGAAAATGTCAGAACTTGAGTTTCTATTTATTTTTTTTAAAGATTTTATTTATTTATTTGACAGAGCGAAAGAGCACAAGCAGGGGGAGCAGCAGAGGGAGAGGAAGAAGCAGGCCCCCTTCCGAGCAGGGAGCCTGATGCGGGACTCGATCCCAGGACCCTGGGATCATGACCTGAGCCGAAGGCAGATGCTTAACCAT